TAATATATTTTCACTCAAAAGCTACGCACACTTAAAAGCATCAAAATGTATTTAATACTACATATTTCATAAAAATCAGAACGTTAACTAAAAAATTAAATTTTTGGGAATTTTGCGCGGCAAATGATGAAAATTTGTAGACAAATTGCATTAAGTTATAATATGAAAAAGTTGTAGGCAAATTCAACTAATGCCAGCTTTTAATTTGCCAACAAATTGTCACAAGCTTCACGTTTTTATTTAATATTAGCACATACTTACATAAATAACGGTATTTTATAGGTTGCATAGTTAGCAAAGCTAAGAAAATTAACAAAAAAAAAACATTAAAAAAAAATACACAAATATCCCTCACACACACATGAGACGCTCACGCCTTGCATTCATTTTGCAATTAAAAAGTTCAAATTTGTAGTCGATAATTGCTTTGCTATTGCYAAATATGGCATATACATATATATTTAGCAAAATAACTGTAATAATTAACTAGATAATTGTTGAATTTGAGATTAATGTTTGCTAGGAGGCAACAGCGCAAAGACCATTGCTGGAATCGTGTATAATTGAAGCTCCAGCGTATGCAGCGAGCGGCAAAAAAAAACACTCTTTCAGGTCAGATATAAAAAGTCTTTGAATTAGAAACCCATATATTATCTAAAAACATATTTTCAATGCAAACTGAACCCTACTGAACTTAATAAAGATTTACTTGTGACAGAAAAGTACACGGAAATTGCAAATTAAACGCAAAATATTTAATTATTCATTAATATTTATTTTGTCGCCTTCAAAGTAAGCCCCACCAGTTATAATACACTTATGCCAATGATATTTCCAGTCCGCAAAACACTTTTCATAAGCACTTTYTGGAATGGCATTCAGTTTCCTCAGCGAATTTTGTTTTAACTCTTCAAACGACTGAAATCTGGTTCCAGGGAGCGGCAATTTCAGTTTGGTAGAACAATAAATATCACATGTCGCCAAGTCTGGTAAATACGTTGGTTGAACGACGGTATTCATTGCGCTTTTGACTTTAACTTCGATCACAATCCTGGCTCGATGCGAT